ACACAAGACATGGCAACAGGGAGGGAGCACAAAGACGCGGGACCAGGCAGGCAGAGAGACAGAACAAAAGGAGCTCGAAATACAAAACAGAAACTAAACCTGAGAACAAGAAATTCCTAACAAGAATGAACCTAAAACATAAGATAATAATCAAAACCAAAACCACTGAGTCCACAGACAGACCATGAGAGTAACCATGTAAACACGGCGAGAAAATGCTAACTCTATACAAAAACACATTTTTTCATACTCTTGAGTTGGTCTTCAAGAATCATTCTCTAGGTTTCTTGAAGGACATTCAAAGCCAGGTCAACACCTGAATCACATGATTAGTTGGTTACCAGGCCTCTGGAGAACTTCAGGACATGTTGAGGAGCTAATTTAGCCATTTAAATCAGCTGTGTTGGTTCAAGGACACATCTAAAACCTGCAGGGACACCGGCCCTCGAGGCCTGGAGTTGCCCACCCCTGTTCAAAGCCCTTCTTTAGCTGTTGGGTGCCTTTTGTTCAGTTCTGTCAAGATGATCCCAGGCTGCTTCAATAATGTTGAGGTCCGGGCTCTGTGCTTCCAACCCATCTTACAGATGGCTGTAGACACTCACTGTTGTACAGCTCTCTGACGTCCTGCATATATATTAATGACAATTTGATCTGTTTCCTTTCTGTATGAATGACTTCTTTACAGCCTTCCAAATGTATCTCTGGGTCCTCTTTTAGGTCTTTGCTCAGTTTTTGTCATATTTTTAAGGACATAGCATTTAGTTCTTGATTTACTTCTTCCTTTGTCTTCCACTTATTTGCTTTACCTAGATTTTTAAAATGAGAAAACTGGACAAGTGAAGAACTGCTGCAAAGAAAAGTGGGCCAAACTTCCTAACAATGTGAGAAAGTCATACAGAAAACCATTACTTCATTAGCTTGTACCAGTGAACCATGTGGTGAGGTGTACTTAGTTTAACACACACAGTGCTATTTTATTAAATAAATACCTAATATAATACGTCACATCTTATTCATCTGTCTTTAAGCAGTTGTAGAACCTGGTATGGACCAGATTTGTCACAGCCGAGCAGGCCGGTGTGTTTGAGGTGTGGACAAAAATGCAGACACGGGAGACAAACGAAGTGTAACAAAAAAAAACAAGGCAAGGCAAACTGGAGAAAAACTAATCTGGAAACCTAAACTGAGAAAAACTAAAACATGAAAACTGTGACATGAACAGGGCCTGAACTGGAACATGAAAAACTCTAACGTGAGATAATCAGGGTAATGAGGGAAGTGGAAACACCTGAGGAGACACAGCTGACACAAATGATCATGACGCCACAGGGAAACGTAAAACCCTAACACACTAAACATGGAACCACCAGGCCTTTCAAAATAAAACAGGAAGCATGGAGAGACAAAGACGTAATAACACAAGCTTGACAACATGAAACACACAGACAAGAAACATGACAGACTGGGTAGACATGAAGCACAGGGAGATGCAAGCATGGGCATAACTAAACGTTAAACAAAGAGGAGAAGACTAAATAATAGCACAAGAACAAGAACTAGCATTTTTACAATAACGTAAGAAAATCCAAAATAAACTCAAGACACTGGGTCACGGACCCGAACCCTGACAGATTGTTTTTGAGTGTGTACTAATGTGCTATATTTTAGAATAAAAAGAGGGTGTACTTTGTTTTTCATATGGCTCTAGACTCAATCGCCTCCTCTGGTTTTGTTTTTAGGCTTAGCTCACGAGGCTTGAGACAAGTTCTTTCAAGCCAGATCTAGTGAGCATAGCAAAAACTTGTTTAAAAAGCAGAGTAGTGATACGGCATGGTTAGGCAACAAAAGACCTTCACCTGGAAAGGCAGGGTTTGAGTCCTGTGTAAAACCAGAATGCAGGTTTGTTTGTTTTCTCTTCATTACTGATTAAGCCATTACCCAGTTGTTGTTGAGAAATCAATGCCACAAATATGAATGTGGTGTCATCAGCAGTTACTGAGGTAATGACTGACCAGTCCTCCACAGAGCCATATTACCTTCTTTTAATAAAACTTTATCATAACCAAAACAAATCAAAATTATTTAAATTCAACTTTGTGATAGAAACACAAAAATATAAAGCAATATTGTTTCTAATTACTGCAAAATGAAGCATCAGCCTGAGATGAAAGAAAGGATCGATTCAAATTCAGTAGAAAAACAGGAAGAGTTGTAAAAGTTAACCTTACATAAAGTCTTTGAATCTTTTCTAACTCCTCTAGCATCAGTCACGTTATTTTTATTCAGTTTTTTACCTTGATGGTGTTTAATGATAGTGTGTTCTCTGTTAGAGACGTCAGCATTATTAATTGTGAGTGTTTTGATGAATGCTGGTTGTCAAAGACACTGCGGGGTGATGCAGATGCTAAGATGAATATCAGGCTGACCTTGAGCTAAAAAAAAGTTAACGTCTGCAGCTGTTCGCATTTTTTAAGAGAAAAATCTGTCATTAAATTTCAGCTCTGTTATATTCACTCATATCTACTGAAACCAACGTTTGAGGTTTGGATGTGGTAATGTAAACATATGAACATATATGTAATATACATACAGTATGGATCATATCACTGATGTGTAAAAAAAACTTTAATGACTTAATTAGACATGTGGGACTTGCTTTTTGTTTGTTTTTGCTTCTTTTCTTCTCTTTTCAAATTTCAAACTTTGATTCTTTTTTCATCACCATCTTTTTGTAACTTCAAGGTCTGTGTTTTAGCTGCTAGAGTGACCAAAGAGTGAATTGCTAAGTTATAAACTAACACGACGAAGCTTGATTGGCAAGGTGCCATAACTGATATGGATGCATGCACAGATGCAGGCATGGTAAAATACAAAGAAACCAACAGAAAGCAACAAAAAATAAAATAAAATAAGCTCAGGTCCTCTATCAGAGGCCTGGGAGCTTGAGGGTCCATTGCAGTATCTTAGCTTTTCCTAGGACTGCGCTCTTCCAGACAGAGATCTCGGAAGTTGTTCCTGGGATCTGCTGGAGTCACTCCCCTAGTTTGGGGGTCACTGCACCAAGTGCTCCGATTACCATTTAGACCATTGTTACCTTCACCCTGCACATCTTCTCGAGCTCTTCTCTGAGCTCTTGTTACTTCTCCACTTTTTCGTGTTCCTTCTTTTTGATGTTGCTGTCATTCGGTATCGCTACATCTATCTCTACGGCTGTCTTCCTCTGCTTGTCTACCACTACTATGTCCGGTTTGTCCGTTTGTCCACCAGATTGTCCGTCTGTATCTGGAAGTCCCACAGGATCTTACCTCAGTCATTCTTGACCACCACTGGGTGCCTCTTCCATTTTGACTTCAGAACTTCCAGGCCATATTCTGCATAGATGTTCCTGTATACTATGCTGGCCACTTATTTATGGAGTTCCATGTATACTCTGCCTGCTAGCATCTTGCATCCTTCTGTTATGTGCTGGATTGTCTCAGGGGCATCTTTACACAGCCTGCACCTGGGGTCTGCACAGTCCTGAGAAGATTGGCAGATAATGGACTTCAATCTGTTGGCCTTATAACCCCTCCCTGATTGATGGGCAGCAATAGTTGTTTCTACTAGGATCCTTGCTGATGCTTTTCCTCCTTGGCATTGTGTTACCAAATACCTGAATGCTCCAGAGCAGCGAACTGCAAAAGCTTCTGCTTTCATAGAAATGGCCACACTTTCTGATGATCAGTTAATCAAGTGGATTCATCAAGCAGCATCTGGCTGATACTTACCCTCTTAATTCCTGTGGAAGCAGGAAGGGTGTACTTAGTTTTTACACACTGCTTCTGTGTGTCTATTACATTTTTAAGACCTGCTAAGAACCAGCTTATTTTTATTATGCCCTGAACCTTTAAGGGTTTGCTTTCTTTTGACCAGCCTAAGCTTCTTAAATGCTTACCTCTCCTGAAAACAACCTGTGTGAATTATATAAATTATTCTTCGCTACTAATCCACAAGAGCACAGTTAATATTCCCATCTTCAAAGACCCTTAGAGTATAACAGGTTTTGACAATTCTTGGTTTTGAGAAATGCAAAAAATATTTTTCACCTGTCAAACTTAACTGATTGCTTTGTTTTGCTCAAGCTGGGCGGCTAAGCTAACATATAAAAAGATGGTATTCTATATGATTTCATAATTCTGGATTTTAGTGAAACTTAAACTTAAATAACTCAAATAATGAATGTGTGTCATGTAGTTTCAAGGCTGTGGCAGACTTGTCTAATAGAGTGTCCGTGATGTCACCCCTGACCTTTCTCATCTGTTAAGAGTTGCTAAATCCACCCGGGACATCTGTTGCTGTTTGACTGAAGCCATCAGAGTCTGAACAGCCGTAAGACAGTAAGTCTGTCTTACTCGTGTGACGCCTAACAAACAAGATGGTTTTAAAACTGGCATATAAGATTCATATGATTTTTTTTAAACAGTCTCACAGAGAGTACTCGTGTTCACTTGTAAATTCATTTTGCAGGAATAATTATCTTTATTTTCCACATTTTCTGTACATGGTAAACATTTGGAAACACTTAGAAAACATTTAATGGCACTTCTATGAAAAGGCCACAGGACAAGGTGGAGAAAGCCTTACAAATGTGCTAAAAACAGACCACATTAAAAAAATACTTTTTTTTCTGGACAGAGACGTTACATAATGGAAAGTTACATTCAAATTTACAGCACATGTTATAAGGTTTTAATTTTTTTTTTCACTCTTTGACATCACAACACAGAAGCTGTGTGTATGTTTTCAAAATGATTCACCATTTCCTGTGATGGAAAAAGCCAGGAAGAGAGAACAGTGATGAGCAGCAGCACTGGTGACAGATATGCATCCCACTTTTGTTTTTCACCACGTAAGCTATAAAATGAAATCAGCAGCATGTCTTACACAGATTTATTTCAATCGCTGATGTGCTTCATCCATCAGTGCCACATGAAATATGGTCTTTGGGTTTTTCTGTTTTGTTTTTTTTAGTATTATCCCTTTAAAAGAGCCAAACATGTGAGGATCAGATTGCTGTTGGCTCAGTGCTATTGCTTGGTTAAAGAGGTGGCATAACATTAGCCACCCTTTTAATCTTTCCTCCTACACAGCACGCAACACTCGCTCACATGTTAATGGCAACGTCGGTCTGAACCTTAATGTGTTTGTCATACTACAAGTGTGCTGCACTAGAGTGGATTTTCTTTACTTCAGAGCTTCAGAGTGAGTGTGTGTGTGTGTGGGGGGGGGTCATTTTACGTCTTAGCACCAATACCTACGGCCTTATGTTACTACGGCTGTTGAAGCCAAGTATCCTAATCGTGATGAAGAAACTGCTGTCACTAAGGAGTGCTCTAATTGCCACTGGAAACCGCAAGCAGAGGTGATTGTGATCAGCCTGGGCGAAACAATACACACTTAGATGTGTGGCCCTGAACGCTGGATCACACCAAACGGTCAAAATGTCACAGCTGTAATCTCAGGGGGTCTTTTTCAGAATTGGTTCAGTAATCTCAAAGCTGTAAATGTAAACCAGACTACGAAAAGCATCCAACTATAAAAAAATAAAATGAACAAGCTGCCTCACAGTATGAACAGACTACTTAAAATAAAAAAAGTTGAATGGATGGAAACATTAACAAATCAAATGACAGGCTGAGAGGTTTTTTTAAGCGTTGGGCAACCTCTCCTGGCATATCTCCAAGGGCCGCTTGAACGCTCCCCTCCCGAAAACTTCGACGTTGCTCGCCAGCCAGGAGACGACATTCCCAGGGACGTACGAAGTGCAGTTGGCCATAGACTGGATCTCGACGGGCTTCAGAACGCGATCCCAAATGTTCACCTGACTCAGCTCGCCCACGAAAGCCTGTCCGGCATCAAAGCGCCCGCCCACCACGTCCTGGAAGAGCCATAAACAGCAGGATGTGAATTTAAACCGCATCGACAACAACATCATCAAACGTAATTACCTGTTCCAGTGCGGAGGAAGAGCCAGTCAGTGGGAATGAACTGCTCATTAAACTTTTGTACTGTCTTTTAAAGTACTCTTGGACACGAGGTCAAGTCCTTTATCTGTTTTCTAAGAAATGTGTCATTTTTTAAAGACTTTATGTTTCATAATTTAGTAACACTAAGCGATCACGTGAGAGCATCATGGGTATTCATGTTGATTTGAACTTTAGATTCACGGTTAATATATTTGGTTTTTGTTTGGCTTTTATTGTTCTTCTAGCATTTGTAATCTTGATTATGTGTTCACTGAATGGTTGAATTCCTGATTTGATTAATTTATTATTTTAACAGAGGTTGAGTTTTTTTTCTTGTGATATTATTGACTTTTTTCTTCTCTTTTAATTTTCAGTTTTACAGTTGTTTGTTTTTTGGTTCATGCCTTCATTTTTATTCTTTTAGTTCCCGCTGTGCCCTCTGTATTTATATAGTCCTGTTTTTCCTTTGTCACTTTGGCAAAGCATCTATCATGCTTCCCTGTGTGCCACCTGCTGTGATCTCCTGTGGCTCGCCTTCAGTTATTTAAGCCTCTGCCTCACATTCAGATTCTCACTCAATCTCTCTCCCTTGACGGATAAACTGCTTGAGAAACAAAACTTAGGAAACGGATTTTAAAACTGTTGATTTCAAAATGAAAATATGAAAAATACTTAATATTTATTAGTCATATCTGGTAGAAAATTTGTGGTAGACAGATAAGAGTGCAAAGTCCTTAGACAAACAATTCTCCTGACCTTGGTCAAGCTGGTCCTTGTTACAGCTGAAGCACCTTTTCACACCATCTTCACACAATTTTGAGAAGCTTGACCTGAAGACCTGAAGCAATCATCTGACACAGTCATCTGTCTGCACTGCAGTTGCAATCCTTGTTAGGTGTAGTCTATAAAGTCCAGTGGTTTTATGTGTTTGCAATCAAGAGTATGATAAAACTACCAAGCTAAATTTCATGAATCCTATCGATCGATCCCCAGCTCTGTCTGTCTTGGTTGTTGTGTTCTTGGGCAAGACACTTCACCTACTGCCTACTGGTGATGGCCAGAGGGGCCGATGGTGCAATATGGCAGCCTTGCTTCTGTCAGTCTGCCCCAGGGCAGCTGTGGCTACAACTGTAGCTTGCCTCCACCAGTGTGTGAGAATGAATGAATAGTGGAATTGTAAAGCGCGTTAAGGGTCTCGAAAAGCACTATATAAATGCAATCCATTATTATTATTAAGATAGAGAACTGACATCGGCTTTGGTGATGTATGTACTCTTCTAGTCTTGAATCTGTATGATGTCAAAGACAGTGGATATACTAAATATGGTCATTTCAGACACACAACTCTGGCTGTGAGAATAGCAGTCCCAACCGATCTACTGTACAGAGTGCAAGGGGCAGCCATTCAGAAGAAAGCTGGCTTAAAAGGAGTCTGGTTATAAAGGGAGAGGAGTAAAAAGGCTCGTCTCAGGTAGAGGAGGAACTGAGGAGTTATTTTGTACTGTGAATCATGCAAAGCTACGGTACTCTAACAGAAACCAAGAATATAAATATGGAAGTGGAAATTAGGTTCCCTTCAATCACATAAATATTCTGCATGCTGCTATGTAAACTTTGATTAGCAGTGATTTGGATACCAAATGTTCCCTGCAGAACTGAACAGTAATATGATTTTTTTTTTAAACGATAACAGCACTCAAAGACCACAAGCCTCAGCAAACGGCCATTCATGCCTTTTAAAGAGGGATCTGGATGCACACCAAATATTTAATGGCTTCTTCCCTCAACACGAAGTGTCACGAAAATAGACTGGGCAGGTTTTGTGTAAAGCCATTAAAAGGGACATAAACAAATGTCAATAAAAACATGCGTTATTACCTGCTTGGCAGAGGTAATAATACATTGATTCATTTAGCGACCTCGGCAGCTGTGGGCAGTGATAGATTCACTGTTGTTTCTGTTAATTGTTTTGTTCTGATAATCAGCCTGGATCTCATTTGTGCCGCTTTAAATCTGGGTAATTTTCTTCTTTCCATCTGCAATTTGCAGAGACACCTCATAAATAGTGCGTCTTATTAGTCGAAGCGCTTGGTACAGCATTTTCAAGTTATTTTCTTCTTGCAGTAATGTGAGCGTGTTGAGTTGAGTGCACATAGCTGCAACACATTCTTTTTTTGACGATGAATCTAAAAATAGACATTCATCAAAGATTTTACTGTATCATTTCACCTGCTCCTGCCCCAGGATGATCACTCCTCCAGGTTTGATGGGGTGCCAGGCTGCCAGGTTGTCACCAGCTCCCAGCTTCTCCCCGTCTTGGTAAGCCTCCCACTGACCATCTCGCGTGGTCCAAGAGATGCAGATGTGGTGCCACCTGCCGTCGCGAACCTCCAGGGGAAGCTGAGCAACCTAGGGTCAAAAAGACATTATAATTTTGAAACGTGTGTTTTGGTACAAATATGATTTTTACTAAATCACTATTTCAATCCGATTTAATTACTTGCCTTGTCATTAATGAGAAGCTCAATTGGGTTGTTGCCCCATTCAATCAGCACAATCTCATTTGCTTGCCCTGGTACACCGTAAGAAAAAGGCGTGCCTATGCCAGGGCTGGCGCTGGACTTGATCCACATGCAGAGAGTGAAAGCATACATCTCTGGCAAGCTCTTGGTGATACGGCCATACAGGTAATTGGTACGCTGGGGCAGGGACAGCTTAAACTGTTCTGGGGGTATGAAGTCTCCTCCGCCTGTAATAAGATCGGCAGAAAAGACCCGTGGTGTAAGGAGGGAGAGGTGACCCATGAGGCTAATCTTCTCACCCGTTATTTCACCTTTGGTGATTCATAAGATCATCTTGACTATTCTGAGTGCAGAGGGCAGCAGCCTTTCTCCACTCTTGTAATTTTCCTTTCGTGTGGGACTATTCTCTGTGTAGTCATCCAATCTGTTAAATGGGCTGTATGTCATTGAAACCTATTTATATCTCAAAATAACATTTCCTCTTGATTTGTTCTCTACAGCTATTGTAATGTAAATATGTGAGTTCGTGCTTGGCTGTACCTTTCTCCAACTCATTGATCCTCTCTACCAATGCGTTTAGAGTGCTCTCTGTTTTCAGCCTGTAGGCAGCTGTGGCATTGGACAGCATGCTCTTTTCCGCCTCCAAGGTGCTGACTTTTTTCAGGAGCTGTTTCTCCAGTTCTCCAAGACGTTGCTGCAGCAGGTCACGGAGCTCACTGGGGAACGAGGCTCCAGATATGTTGGCCCTCATTTGCTGTTGCTAAGGAAGGATCAACATCACCAGTTATCATAAGCAGGATGTGCACTAAGCCCCCCTGAGAGCTGTGAGCTTCTGTGTGACTGATTGGCAGGTTTACAGATTGAGTTTAAATAAAAGTCTTTCAGTCAGTTTTCCTCTCCTGTCAGGAGAATCCACTCATTTATTTTAATGTGGGAGGCACATACTGGGCTTGAAACTGAGTATTTTCATACTGTGTGGTAGTCATGGTAAGACTAGGAACAAAAGACTATTCAATTTATTGAAAGCGCAAGCAAAGTGAAGGCAGGTCACACGAGAAATTAACCAGTTAGCTGTATAATCTCTTCCCACATACTGTTTTGATTCTCCACGATAAACTCAGTAACAATTCTTAGAAGTCACGCTCTGCTTTTGTGCGAATCGACAGTTTGTTTTAATCCCCTTAAATCCGTAATCCGTAAGCAAACCAGGTTTTTAGGTTCGGGCTTTGGCACAATGCTTTGCGCAATGACTCTTACCTCAAGGTTTTCCAGTCGGTCCTTGAGCCCCTGCATGGTTTTTCCAAGATTGTCGATAGTTTCATTTGGATCCCCGGGAACGTCCCCCATCGTGTTTTGTTTGTCTTTGCCCCATGTTCCCCCTTTGTCGTACTTTCTATCGGTGGTTGCTGACGCGCACAGAGACAGCTTGGTGGTAAGCTCGTTGATGGTGCCAATCTGTTTGGAAATCGTTTCTTTCTGTTGTAAAATCGTCTCCCTTAGCTGCATGACCGTGTTTCTGAGCTCTTCTTCCTGACCCCCGGCATTTAACTCGGGTAGCAAAGTCACAGGGCAACTGGCATCGCCCGTGAGGGGTATTGCCCGGCAAATGTAGCGCTTTCCATCGTCTGCCTGCCTGTTTGTTAGCTGACCACATCCCAGAGCACAAAAACATAACATCCCGGACAAGAGTGAAAACATACCGGCGGCTTGTGTCGCTCAGAGAGTTCAAGAAAGAGGTGAAAACCTCACAGTTAAATTCTCAGCACTCCAACGCGAGCCCGATGTTGAGTTCAGTGCGTAAAAGTGTACTCCAAACGGGTCTGCGCAAAAAGCATCATGTATAACTATCTTTACAAAGTAGCGACATGATGTCCGACCGGCAAAATCAGGAGTGGAAAATGCGATCAGGGGAGTGTAAGCCCATTAATGTGGCTTGTGATAACGGAACTATTCCTGGCACGAACGGAGCTCACAGTGTGGTGCTGATCAGACAGCTCCTCTCGATAAAGAGGATTACCAAAACAAGGAGTCTGTGAAAAGTCCTGTATGTGTTGTAGTAGGCTGACGTCACCGAGTCTAGGCTTAAATGGTGATTTGTTGAGCTGATTAAGACTCTAAGACTCGAAGTCGTTGTCGGAAATTGATAGGATTGAAAGGTGTGGTCGATTAGAAGGCGTGGTTATTTTCATACGGATGCCTTCCAACACGTTATCATGCTTTATTTTTTACCCGGTTCCCATCCCCAGACATATGTGTGAGCGTGCGCTGTATGTGGTAGAATTTGAGGTATATGGATAATAAACAATAGAATAACTTCAGAACACATTTATGGAAGTCCTGCAATAAAATCAATAAAAAAAAATTTAAAAAGAAGAAGAATCGATTTGAGTTTGGATGCATAAATTTTTCAAACATTGCACCAACACACGTGGCCTCAAGGCAATTTAGAGACTGAATTGCAGCTGCGAAAAAACATAACAAATGATTCCCAATGCAGGTGAGTCTCTTCAATAAAGCCAACGGTGGAGAAACAGGATGTGGTGGTAAACAATTAGCAACAGTTGCCTGCCTAGTTGCAAAAGGTCAATAAAGCCTGTTGTGCTGACTGGAAGGCCTACCACTGTGCTTTGAAGATGGCATCCAACCATGATCCAAACCACAAAGTCAATCAAAGCTGTTTTACACTAGGGGATGATAAAATGGAAGCAGTGCTGAGCAAAAACTGTTCAATTCTGGGATTTAAAACAGCAGAAATGAAGCTCGTGGAGATTTTGATTTTCTCCAAAGATATGATCAAAGACTTAGATAATTACATGCAGAGTTGGTAAAAGACTAAACATTTTACAATTATTTTCATGTTAAATAAAATGAAGGCATCGCAAGCTGTCACGTCTGACTCATCACGCACATCATGAATCAGAGAACTCATGGCTGTCTTCCAGCCAGATTTGTGAAAAATTCTCATTAAGGGCAACAATTATTGTCACTCTTGGAACTTTAGTTGGAACAATTTTTAATTGCCATGCAAGCTTTAGTATAGTTAGGGGTAACATTACAACATACAGTATATAAGTACGGTTAGATATAGTCAGGTTTCCAACCAAGAGGCAACTTAACGTTCAAAAAATCAACATGGAAGTGAAAACTGTGGAGAAAAAAATAAGTGTGGTACCCGGATTGTTCTGTTTTTTGTCTAGAACATTTTTTAAATCACTGGGCTTGATCCTCTTCTTTCTTTTCAATAAAACATCTAACACCTCGGACATTTGAACTGTGTCACGGAGGTTTCAACCAGTCCAGACACAGCTTCTTTTTATAAGGGTTCATAGGCCATAAAAGTTAGAACTCACTGGTTTAATATTATTAAAGCAATTAAAGTTTGATACTTGGCACCTTTCGTAGTTTTAGTTCATGTCAGTGCAAAGCTCAGCAGGACGATGGCCCCAAAACCTTCAGAGAATATTACTGCAAATCTGTTTGATGATTTAAGCAGTAATGGACAGCAGGGACTGACCATCAACGCTGTTAGTTTGCCCATGGGGTTCAGTTGCTTGTGCTCGTGCACACGTCTTGATTAAACACAAACGCTTTAACGCTGACTCTCACTATCTACTTTGTGTTTACTATAGGATAAAGACATAACTCACCTACCGGCAATGGCCAACAAACTTGGGACGTCAGTGCTGTTACAAAATTATGATTTTCATTAACAAGCATATTCACCATGGAGGAGATTCTGCTGTGAGTGTTTGCCTGTGTCACAGAGAACATGTGTCTTATTCATACAGACCTCAGGAGTGATTTAAAAAAAAAAAAAAAGAGTGAATGTCCACGGGCGCTTCAGATGCATGAATAGATTTTTGGGTATTGTTGATGATTCAGAACCAGTCTCAAGGAAAGTGCACTTCTTTCTATGGAAGAAATAATGCAGGGGCGATGCGGCTTCATCATAAGGGCATCACCAGTCGCTGCAGAGCACTGAGAAAAACACATATCTAATGGACAGATGAGTGGTTTTGGAAACCAGTGTGTCATCCACTCTTCCCTCTCAGGATAAAGCCCCCATCAGGGAGAGAAAGAAAAAAAAAAACACTGATGAAACAAACAGGACAGCGCAATAAGCCAGAGACAAACATCTTTTAGCAGATCATTATTACTTAGGGAACATAGAGTGCAAAGGAGAATGAGAAAGTCATATTATATGTCAGATTAACTCTTACATCATATGTGGCATTCAGTGAGAGGGATATCTCATTCTGCAGTCTTTGTGCCAGTGGCTCCAGTCTATGGAAGGAGGAGGAGGAGGAGGGCTGTGAAGGAGGGAATTAAAACCCATTAGCAAAGCTTGTGGGTAGGACACATGCTTGATAGATTATGCAAGATAAATAATGATCATCTTTCAACCAGACTTCATTATTTCCAGAGCTATTAAAACAAGCATTATGAAAAAAAGAAAGAAATCTCAAGTCTTATCCCTACACTGTCATTTGTGAACCACAAAAGCGTGCATGACAGCAACTTAATGTGGTCAAAATGAAAGTCGGGGGCTGTTTTAAAAATGATCATGAAAAGGTTACATGCTCTGATCTCATAGAATAACTGTTTAGCTTGTGACTCGCTTCACAGAGTCAAGAGGATCAATGAAAACTGTTAACATTCATTGCAAAATGTATAACTTTTTAAGGTGGCAAACTATGGGGGCATCTTTAGTTTTTTAAATATATTTTGCTGGGAAGATGGGAAATAGGTGAAGTGAATACAGGCAAAAACAGAGTTTGTATTATTCAAATGAGCTTGACTGTCTTCCATTGAGAGCATTTCTATTGAGGCTTCAGTGAACAGGTGAGAGTTCAACTGAAGGGCCAGATTGATTTTTCATGTCAGTGTCAGGTCATTGCTGGATTCCCCCCCAGCAATGACCTGGATGGCATCACATTCACTTTACTTTGAGCACTGGTAATTTCAGAACATGGATAGACTCCAGAAACAGCTTCAGTAGGCTGCCATCTTGTGGTTAAAACAGCTCACGATAACTAACAAAAGCAACGCAAAGACATGGAACAAATTAGTCAATAAACTTAATTCAGATTAAATATCACTCCATCCCATGGCCAATTAAATACAATTCCGCATACACTAGTGATTAGTTATTAATATTATCTATTGATCTTTTGCTATGTAGAGCAATATCCCCCTGGACGACGTTTACTGTCCTCCAGCACTGCTACTGATGCAAAATCTGTTCAACTCCGTGTAAACACATCCCTTAAAACATTATTTTACTAACATTTGAAAGGCATCTACATGTGTGTTGGCTTTCCAAAATGCAAACTCACGACCTGTTATTAATTACAGTAGTTATTTATTGTATTGTATTGTCCCATCAGTATTGTGGAATAGCATGGCAAGCAGGTATCCATATAACTAAAAAAAAAGCTTCAAATTGCCTATTTTTTAAAACGAAGTCATCAGTACAAACTTCTATTTTAAGTCCTCTATTAATGATTGCTTATATTTGAATATATATTGTTTGCACAAAGACCACTTATATTATATTTATTCAAGGTGAAACGTCTGCCCCACTGGGAAGCCTATTACCTCCAGGAACCATGTTACTTAGCCTACTACTTCCTCTACTGTAGAAGCCTAGGAGCCAGAAGACCATCGAAAATGATGGTCTTATAGCTACTGTTTTACACTGTATATTCTTCCGCGGGTACTAGGATAACAGCTTTTCATTTAAAAAATGTATTATTATAGAGCTTAATAACGAATTTGTCACTATTATGCACATATAAATGCTAAACAGATATCATAATACCATATTTTATTGTTAAAAAAGAAGCTATAATATGCATTGCGCGGAGAGATATCACACATCGTTGGGCGCAAACGGGAGCGCGAGCACGGCGCATACAGGCGAGGGACAGTTTCCTGTCTGTGGCGTTTGGTAAGTGAAAGATTCGCTCTCTCTTACAAACTTTGGATAAATATAAGCAGTTTTGGGGAGTCTTAGATAGTGGTGTTTTGGGGTAGGTTTTAGTTGAAGCAAATGTGCTTTCTTTTTTTGTGGCTCTTGTTTATAGTCTCCTTAAAGGAGTTTAATGTTCTGGGATGCGCGAGCGCTTTCTTTCTTTAACGAAACTAGCTTAGCATTGCCGTTCGACAGCTGGTTCTCTAAAATAAATGTGTATAAATTTGTGTTTCATTGAGTAAATCATTAAGATTGCAATGCGTCTTAACAAAACATTGGTTCCAGTTTTATGCCGAAACCCCAAGTTTGTTCATTTAAATTTTCAAACGCTATTAGAGTGCACAGAAATTGTGCTAGCTGATGCATAATGATGTCATCACTCTGCGCCCATTTATTGGCATGTTATTTATTATGGACGTTACCGGTTTGTTGGTGGGACGCAGCAGGTTTCCTGTTACAAACTAATTTTACCTGAATGCTCATCAGATACATCTTCTGTTGTTTTTTTTTTTTGCATGCAAAGATAAGTAATTTATCTCCTCTTGCAGGTAGTGTACATGAGCTCAAAGTGATCGCGTAGACCTGTGCAGACTGCAGCCCAGTCTGTCCGTGCTGCCACCATGGCCTTTGTACCCGCGCCCAGTCCCACTGTGGTGGACCAGACCACACTTATGAAGAAGTACCTGCAATTTGTGGCAGCTCTAACAGATGCGAACACACGTAAGTTCATAAACCTTGCTGTGTATTTTTTGGTGTCAGATGTTTGAAAAATCTGGAAAAAATTACTTAGTTTTAGAAAATATCTATTTGTTTTTGTGAGGATTACTGTTTCAAAATGCAGATTTATTGTTTGAATAGCTGCATGTATTTTTAAGCCTCTAAACACTTAAATGCCCTTATGGGTTTAAAAGGTTTTATCCAACAGTAATCCAGCAGTTACAGATAAATTGTTGGGATTTAGAGGCATTATCCAATTTAAGTATGGATACTTGGCATACATATTTAACG